TATTTTATCTGTTTATAGAATCATCAAAACTGGCATAAAAGAGAAAGAGAACTTTTTGCTGAAGGATATGTAGCGGCCAAGCCTGTGCCATTTTTTCAACTATATGTCATGTGTCTTACTTCTTGTGTTGACTATATGCTGAGCCCAGTGAAATGAACAAAGGTGACAGACAACTACATTGACAGGACACATGGTCTCTGAGCTCACAGGCTTTTTGTGTCTCTGCCTCTCAGAGCAGCACCTCCCAAAAAAAGATGCTGCATCATGGTGCCTACACTTTAGTACGTTCCCCTCTGATCCCTCTCTTAAGGCCTGAACAGCAGCTGTGGAGATTAGAGAGGAGAGGCTACGGACACACACGGAGGATCTCTGTCACATAAACTCGGTTGGCCAGGACAGATCTGGTTCAGACTGGAGTGGGCTTCAGTGGCAGAAGACTGGATCCAGAATGTGCAGACAACTTTTTTTCTTTGTCATTAAACCCTGAATTAACTTTGAATTTCTACTAGTTTCATAGTGGACCGTATCTTTTGTTGGAATTTCCAATCCCAAGCGTCTTCATTTTGGGGTCTACACCAGATCACAAGCAAATCAAGAACCGGTCTGCCTGCATTTCTGTCACTTCTGTGCTTATCACACTTTGGCCATGAGCTGTTTTGGGTATCGTCGAGAGCTGAGTAAGTATGAAGACCTTGATGAAGATGAGCTTTTGGCTTCTCTCAGCGCAGAGGAGCTGGCTGAGTTGGAAAAGGAGCTGTCGGACATCGATCCTGATGCCAATGTGCCCATAGGACTCAGACAGCGAGATCAGACAGATAAGACCCCGACAGGCACTTTCAGCAGAGAAGCCCTCATGAAGTACTGGGAGAACGAGACACGTAGACTGCTGGAGGATGAGTTAGGTGGAGCAAGTCCAAAACTGGTTAGTGTTAACATTTATTTTATTTTTATGTTTTTGTGCTGGTGTTCTATTAGTTTTGCCAAAGAACAGAGTAACTTAAAGTAACTTTATTACAAATTCTTCTAGTAAGACGCTGTCCATATCACATGATCCTGCTAGCATTTCAAGATTTTATTAACTGTATTAGTCTAAAGAGATTGGAAAGAAAAGCATCTGGACTTCTTTAAGTTGCTTGAAGACGTTTCACCTCTCAAGAAGAAGCTTCTTCAGTTCTAACTTCAAATGGTGGACAGTCCCAGATTTAAGTGCTAGGGGAGTGTCCCGCAAGAGGGTCATGAACCCCCTGTTGATCCTCTACCTAGATCTGACCTTAGAACTGAGGAGGTTTCTTGGATGAGAGGTGAAACGTCTTCAAGCAACTTAAAGAATCCAGACGCTTTTCTTTCCAAGCTCTTTAGACTACAATGGTCTGGATGACTGAGAACCTTCACAGTCATTAACTGTATTAAAATACAGGATGAAGAACAGGAGGACTGTGTGACAGAAGAAACCAGTGAAGGAGAAGAGGACAAAGATGATGAAAATGAGAAGGAGCAAAAAAAGAATGAAAAACAAAGTGAGGAAGAAGAGGAAGCCGAGAACAGTGATGAAGAAGAGGAAGAAGAGGAAGAAGAGATGGAGAGTGAAGAAGAACCTGTAACAGAAGAGGAGGAAGAAGAGGACGAGGAGGAAGAAGAACAAAAAAATAAATCAAAACCTGAACCGTCAAAAAATTCAGGGCAGGTGACGTCGTGGGCCGAGAACCTAACCCTACTGAAGCCCCAGAGGGTGGAGCCTATTAGGCGGACTCCTCCTCCTCCTCCTCCACCACCTGCTGACCTGAACACCACTGGAAACCCAACTGTCGTCGATGACGCTCTGCAGCAAGTGCTTAGAAATGACTCTGAACTCATTGAGGTTAATCTCAATAATATAGATGACATCTCACAGGTACAAATAAAATTCTTTCATAACAAACTAATTTCACAAAATATCTTCACCAACATGTCACAGGAAATGTAGATAACTATGGTTATAATAACATTAATTACAATTAGCTGCTGACTAAGAATTGCATGAATCACCACATTACGTTCATTTAGGTTTTGATCCTTCTGTGTGTTGCTTCACTTGTGTTATCATAAGGCAATCAAACAAAACAGGTTAGCAATCAGCTCTATCGTGAGTTAAACAAATTTGTGACTTTGTGAAATTTAAATCTATAAGCTTTGTTTCCAAATCCAGCAGTTTTGCTTAACTTTTAGCTAAATTTCACAACCAGGCAGATGAAGATACAGGAAGTTCTTTACAGGAAACTTTGCAGGCCTTTTTTACCAAAAAGGAAAGAACTGAACAAAAGCTACATTTTAGTAGCTTTTTAAAATTTATCCAGATTAGCATCCTAGAAACGAAGTCATGAGATGATCACGTTAGTTTCCAAATTATTTCCCATTGACTAAAATAGATGCTTGCAGCTGTCACCCTGGCTGAGGCTGGCAAATCCAAACCATTCATGAGATTCAGGGGTCGGCAATCGATTTTCCTAAGGAACCACATGAAAAACTGAATGTGTTGGAAGGCTTGGAGTGGTGGGGCTTTCCAAAACAGTCCCAGTTTCTCATGTGCTCTAAAATCTGTGTTTGATGCTAAAGCCATTCCGGTGGGTTGCACAATAGAAGCAGGAAAGTTACTCATACAAGTTGCGGCTAATTTTAGTATTGTTGTAACAGCAGCTTGGGACCAAGGCTTTGTGTCAGTGTGGTAAACACTGGCCTTTCTGAAG